AAGAACTTGCTGTTTAAGATGTCCTCAGACCACTAGTGAGTTTGTTAGAAATGCAAAATCTCAGGCCCTACCCTAGACCTACTGAATTACTGGTAGTATTACTTATTCTTGAGTCTACTTCATCTGATATTAATATAGCGACTCAACTTTCTTTTGATTGTTTTTTTTTTTAAGATTTTATTTATTTATTTGACAGAGAGAGAGAGAGAGATAGCGAGAGCAGGAACACAAGCAGGGGGAGTGGGAGAGGGAGAAGCAGGCTTCCAGTAGAGCAGGGAGCCCAATGCGGGGCTCGATCCCAGGACCCTGGGATCATGACCTGAGCTGAAGGCAGACGCTTAATGACTGAGCCACCCAGGTGCCCCTTAATTGGTGTTTTTTTTTATGGCATATCATTTCCCATCCTTTTCTTTTTAACCTATTTAAGTATATCTCTAAACTTAAGGTATATTTCTAGTAAATAGCATGTAAATAAGCTTTTGCTTATTTATCCAATCTGACATCTGCCTTTTAATTAGATGTTGAGCCATTTATATTTAATGTTATTATTGATATGGTTGGATTTAGACCTACCATTTCTTAAGTTGTTTTATATTTGTCAATTTGTTCTTTATCCCTTTTCCCCCTATATACTTACCTTCTTTTGGAACACTTTATTGTTCTATTTTATTTCCACTTTTGGATTATTAGCTATACCTCTTTTTAAAAGATTTTAGTGGTTGATCTAAGGTTTACAACACACATCTTTGGGTGCCTGGGTGGCTCAGATGGTTAAGCATCTGCCTTCGGCTCAGGTCATGATCCCAGGGTCCTGGGATCGAGTCCCGCATCGGGCTCCCTGCTCCTTGGGAGCTTGCTTCTCCCTCTGCTTCTCTCTCTCTCTCTCCCTCTGTCTCTCATGAATAAATAAATAAAATCTTAATAAAAAAAAAACAACACACATCTTTAGTTTATCACAGTCTAATTTCAAGAATTACTATATCACCTTAGGTATACTGAAAGAACTTTATGATAGCATACTTCCATTTCTTTCCTCTCATCCTCTATTGTACTGTCATTCATTTTAATTCTACATATAAGTCCCACAGTGCATTGGAACTATTTTTGCTTTAGACACATCTTTTAAAGTGATTACAATAATAAAAAGTTTTATATTTACTTTCGCTTTTATCATTTCTAGAGCTATTTATTTCTTTGTGTAGATCCAAATTTCCATCTGCTATAATACTCTTCCTGCCTGAAGAACTTCTTTTAACATTTCTTATAGTGAAAGTCTACTGGGGCGCCTGGGTGGCTCAGATGGTTAAGCGTCTGCCTTTGGCTCAGGTCATGATCCCAGACTCCTGGGATTGGGTCCCGCATCGGGCTCCCTGCTCCTTGGGAGCCTGCTTCTCCCTCTGCCTCTCTCTCTCTCTGTCTCTGTCTCTCATGAATAAATAAATAAAATCTTTAAAAAAAAAAAAAAGAAAGTCTACTGGAAATGAAAAAAAGCTTCATTTGCCTTCAATTTTTTGAAAGGTATTATAACTGGGTATAGAATTCTGGATTGATGGTATTCTTTCTTCTACTACTTCAAAACTGTCACTTATGCAGTTTCTAACAAGAAGTCTGCTGTAAGTTTTAGCCCTCTGCAGTGTATCATTTTTCTCTGGCTGTCTTTAAGATTTTCTTATCTTCTGTTTTCATTAATTTTGGAAAATTCTTAGCTTTATATCATAAAATATTTCCCCTGTCTCATTCTTCCTCTCCCCTCCTTTTGGGATTCCAACCTGTGTTTATCAAACCACTTGATATTATTTCACAGATCTTGGATGTTCTGTTCTGTTCTTTCTTTTTTTAAAATTCTTTCCTTGTATTTAAGTATGGATAATTTCTATTTACCTATATTCAAGTTCACTGTTTTTTTCTCAGTTATGTCCAGTGTTCTGCTAAGCCCACTGAAGGAATTATTCATCTCTAATAATGTGCTTTTAATTTCGAGCATTTCCATTTCACATTTTTAATAATTTCCATCTCTCTGCTGAAATTTTCCATATATTCACACATGTTATCTACCTTTTCCACTAGATCCTTTAACATATTAATCATAGCCCAACATGTGGATCATTTTTGAATCTAGCTTTGTTGATTGCTTTAAGCTCTTTAATAATGGATTTTTTTTCTTTGCTGTTTTGGGTGTGTTGTAATTTTTAATTGAATGATATCTTGTAGAGGAACTGAGGTAAAAAATATTTATACCCAGAAACAAGTATGCCTCTTCTTCTGTCAGATTAGAAATGTAGGTGATTAAATCAATCTAGTCAGGAGGTGAGCTGAGTTTGGATTTTATTGTTATTATAACAATAAATCCTTTGGTGTACCACAGGATTTTTTAAAAAAGATTTTATTTATTTATTTGACAGAGAGAGAGTGTGTGTATGCACAAGCAGTGGGGAGGGGCAGAGGAAGAGGGAGAAGCAGACTCCCGGCTAAGCAGGGAGCTGGGGCTCAATCCCAGGACCCTGGGATCATGACCTGAGCTGAAGGCAGATGCTTAATCAACTGAGCCACCCAGCCGCCCTGTACCATAGGATTTTAGTTTTTGTGCTATTACCTTGTTCTTAGTGTGGAAACTGGAGTGCTCAGAGTTTTTCTTAGTGTTCTTAGCTTTCAGCAGTTCTTGCATGTCTGTGTTGAAGAGGGATCTCTCCCCACATTCTTTTTCCTCCTCAGTACAGTGTAGGGTTGCTTGTTGCTAGTGCTTGGCCTGTGGTGGGGCAAGATGGGTTCTCCTTTCTCCTGTTCAGCTTTGATCCTAGGCAAGTCCTGTGTACCTGAACCTTAGAGGTGGGGCTTTCTCAGTATTTCTTCCCCCTTTACCTATCGCTGACAAATCGTGCCTTGTTTCTGTGGTATGTCTTCAATAAAAGAGGGTTTCCCAGAAGTTGCCAACCTCTACTCTGTCATTTCAGTTCAGGACCCTGAACCCGTGTTTCCCGCTGCTCCCCCAGGGGCAGAGAGTTTGCACTTCTATCTCTCCACCAGAAATAAGAGTCTTTGCCATGGCCCTGTGGTAGTAGTATTTTATGCTCCTTCCCCAACAGCTTAAGGTTTTCACATCAGAGAAAGTTTTTGGGAAGTTAGGTGAGGTCTCATGTTTGTCCCCCAGTGACAACTACCACCTTCCAAGATTCTTATTATCTCTGGAAAAATACTGCTATCCTATAGAGAGGAATGTGGTATTTTGACTTAGCTTCTTTACAGATATTTACTAAAGATATGCTACATGAATAGCAATTTAAATATTAATTTATTATATTGCTGCCTGCTCTTTACCAGACACTGCTGCAGGAAAACACATTTATCTTTCAAGAAGCTACCTGTTTCTTTTAGCTACTTTTCATCATGCCATTCAAAATTAAGCTAAATCAAAATGAATGTGGTTAGGAAAAAAAACTGTTGTGCAAGAGGCAAGTGCACACCTCACACTTGGATCAAGAGTTCTGCTGTTTCTCTGGAGACAGTTTTCAGGGCAGACAAGGTGGAAGTTTAATAGTTTATTTGTAAAACTCATCTCCTTGAAGAGTTCCTTATAAGGAGATTTCTGAACTTCCAAAACCATCTATGGGTGTACACATGGTGCCAGGGATTTGAGGACAATTGGTTAAACCTTACTTTGAGGCCAAGAAAAGTCTAGTTAGTGAGTCCTACTCATACCTTTGGGGAAAATGAAGCTGAGTTATTTTTAGAGGATCATTTCTGTCACAATTGGCTTCTCTGAGGTACCTAAGCAGAAGACCAGAATCAGAAAAGAGGAAATGAACTTTTGTTCTAGTAAATGTTTAGTATGAGATATTGAATCACATTAATGGGTTTTCAGGGCCTGAGGAAGATCTGTTCTTTAAAAATAAAAAAAAAAAGCAATATAATTTACTTAAGTCTGCAAGTTCTATACTAATTATCAATATAAAGGCCACCAAGATATTTTTTTCCAGTTTTATTGAGATAATAACTGACATATAACATTGTGTTCGTTTTAGGTGTACAACATGATATATGTATATATTGCAAAATAATCCTTACAATAAATTAAGATCCATCACCTCACATAATTACAAAATTTGCATATGAGAACTTTTATGATCTACTCTTAGCAACTTTTCAAATATACATTACAGTATTGTTAACTTTAGTCATCATACTGTATATTACATCACCAGAACTTATTTATAATAGTAAGTTTGTACTTTTTGACCCCCTTTGCCCATTTTGCCCACCTTCCCCCACCCCCTCCCTCTGGCAACCACCAGTTTCCTGTAGTTTTCTTTTCTTTAATGCAAGCTAATTTTAAGACATGTTATATTGGTGATGTAACGCTTTACAGCCTCCTTATACTGAAATGTGTGTTTAGGAGCTTAGACATGCAAGTCAGTGTTACTTAAGCAACTAAATTGCTTCGTTTGTTTGTTATTGTTTTTGTTACGACAAAAAGGAAAATGAAAAAAAGGAAAAACTTTTATTTGTAAAAAAGGGGGTTCCTGAAAGGTCTTCCCCTTCATAGAGCATCACTCAAGAGACCTCCGAGAACTGAGCCCTAAAACCCCGCAGGTCACACACGGGTCGAGGAAGTTTTAGGCAAATTCACATTAGAGTGGCCCCCACCTCCCACAATTTCCACCCTGGCGCAGAGACTGACCGGGACTGGGCGGCCCAACCGCGTCAGGGAAAGACGAGACCCGGAAGCCCTGAGGCCGGGAGGGGTCGGGAGAGGCCGCGAGAGGGCTACCGGGAGCCCCACGGGCCTGGGCCAGCCGTGCCCCACAGCCGACGGCTAACGCAGAAGCTTCGTGCCGACTCTTCCTCCGCGCCGGGAAGGCGGGGCCTCCGCCTTTCCCGCGTACGGGTCTCGCCGCCCCCTCATCCTCCTCGTAGGCCCCGCGCCATTTCTGCTACTAACGGCCGAACCGGCCCCCAAGGGCTCGCGCCGCGGCTGAGCGGCGCGGAGCTGGTCCCGGGGCGGGATGCGGCCGCCCCTTGGGCGGTGGTGGCTGCTGCTGTGGCTGCCGCCATTGTCCACACTGCCCGCAGGCGCTGTGCGCGGAGAGGAGGAGGAGGCGGCGGCGTTGTCAGGTAACCGTGGGCTCTGGCGGCGGGCGCGTGCCCGCGCGCACCGGCTCCCGGGCCCCCGCCCCCGGCTCCCTGCGCTCTCCCGCTTTCCCGGCGCCCCGCCGACGCTCTCCCTGCGCCTCGGCGGGGCGGCGGGAAGCCCGGAGCCGGCTGGGCGCTGCCTCGTTCCCTCAGGCTTGCCCCGCGGGCGCGGCCGGCACCCGCGGCAGGCCCAACCTCCCTTTCCGCCTACTTGGGCTTCCTGGTCTCTTTGGTGGCACTTGGACATTTTTATGATTTTAGTAGAAGCAACCGCCAAGTTCAGAGTCTAGCCCAGTTCCCTCGTTTACAGAAGCAGCAACCAAAGCCCAGACGTGGTTTGATTTGTCTGAGGTCACACAGCTAGTCACTGACCCTAGTCTCCCGACTTTCAACACAGGACTTTTCATGGTACATCAATTTATGTTGAAAACCTCACTATTTCTCTCTATAGCTATTGCTTTGGACTCAGGACAGGAGAGGGTAAGAGCTTTGGCTTTAGAGTTAGACCGAAATTCCCGGGCCCCTGACTAGCTCTGTGTCCTTGAGCAAGTCACGCTACTGGGCACATGTAAAACATAATATCTGACAGGATTGTTGCAATGTTTAACGTGTGCACAGTGTTGCACAGGAAACAAGAAATGGTAGCTGCTCATAGTGTTGTTATGGCCTATACGTGCAGTACTCGCAAGATCCTGGCACAGAAGGAGGAGTCAGGAGTTTAACGCAGAACTGCCACTAATATGCTAAGAGCTTAACATTTCTGCTACCTGCCCCCCCCCGCCCATGAAATCCTGTAAAAGATTTCCTGGAATTTTTGTCCACCAACTTCTCTTCATCTCATTGGCCACCTCTGTTTGCAAGGGAGGCAACCAAGTGTGGTCTTTTATGCTGGGCATAGCACCTCCTCCAGTGAAATCAGGGTTCTTTGTCTAAGGATGAAGACAACCAGATTCGGCCAGAGCTGCCAACTCATGGGAATCTTGCAGTGAGTTACACTTTGGAGAACTGTTCTATACCAGTTTTCATTGAACGGACATTTGTTGGATGTTTACTACGTGCTAGGCAGTGTTAAAAGTGCTTTAAATTATTTATTTAATACCTATAATAGCCCTCTGAGGGTAAGTACCATTAACATACCCATTTTATAGACGAGGAAAGGCAAGCTTAGTAGGGAGAAATGTAACCAGTCTATACTGATGAGAAAATAAATCACAGATGGGTCTAAGAAGGAGGGTTTCTGAGCATGGCAGCAGCCAGAAAATTGTAAGTAGCCCTGGACCAACACCCAGAACCTTGACTTCTAGACATTCATTACATGACCCCACCCACTTGTAAAATTACCTTGGTCTGGGTACATAATCTTTATGGACCATGGTTTTCTGGTCAGTAAAATAAAGTTGTTCTATTGCGGAGTGGTTTCCAGTATTTTCCTCACCTTTTTATTTCCTTCTGTTAACCCAATATTTCTCATGTTTGTGTTACAACATTTGGTGTTAACTGTGACTTCTTCTATTTTGTTAGCCAGAGAGCTACATAAATGCTTATCAGAACTACTGTTCTGCCCAAGACATGCAGGATGTACGCTTAGTTGATAAAATTCTAGCCCAGAGCCAAGAAAAATGGCAACTTAACGTAGCCTTATAGCACCTCTTGCCATTCCAGATATGCTTTATGGGAAAGGCTGTGGAGATCCTGTGGTGTGCCAGTGACACCACATTGGAACCTCTGGACTAGACTAGGTCTAAGGAACATTGCTGCTCTAAAAGTGGTTTTATGAACAGATCAAACAGCTGGTACTTCCTTTCATAATAGGGCCCATTTATAACATGAGAAGCTTGGATTAGATGATACTTAACTGTTGTAAAATTCTGTCTTGAATGCACACTCCCTTCCATAAAATAGAGAACATCCAGAGCCAGGCCAGCTTTCTGTCATCCTATTTGGAGGAAAGTCAGAGGCAAGTGACACAGGAGAGGCAGGTAGTTGGCTGGCTAAAAGGAAGAGTTATTATTCATAGTTTGCAGCCAGGGGAGAGGAGCTTAGAAACCATGTGTTGTCTTAGGATGTAGTGGAGGCCACTGCGTTGAATTCCCAGGCTTGAACTATGTAGCGATAGGCCATTTGAAAACCACAGCTTTCAAATTCATCTATGAAGAAGAAAAATCAGTCCTTGTAGTTAAAATCAGTCTGAATGTGCATCAGCATGTGCTAATTTCAGATTCATTCTCTATGCACATTCTTGGAGAAACAAAAATCAAGATTTATATTCAAGTCTGGCTAAAAAAACTAGCGTTAATAGAATAGTTACCTTCTAACTTTGGTGCTCCATGCTAACTCCTTTGAAAATGTGAATTTACAAATAATACCCAGAAAAATCCTTCCTTTGAACTTTCAGGAGCTAAGTTTTGTCAGTTTTTGCTTTTTGTTTTTATTTTTTTCCCTCTCCTTGTCCCAAAAGAAAAGCAGTAATAGGCCAAATGGAGAAAATGGCAGTCTAATTAAATAAGTGATTTTATTATTCTATTATAGTTTCATCTGAAGATATTTTCTTCTCATATGAGGGCCATGTAAAGGTTAAATTTTTAGAAGGAACATTGCTGAAATATTTTTGTTAGAGGTTGTTTAAGATCTGCTAAGATTTGAGGAGTGTTTGTGCTTTTTATTTTTGGCATATTCTATAAGTAGGTTTAAGTATTACCTGCCCTTTTCTGAAGTTTTGACTGAATATTTTTACCTTATGTATGACTAAATTCTTTAACTTAAATATATCCTTTTAACATTTAGGAAAACTAATAAATGACAAAAGCGGTACAAAGGAGTAATTTTAAATGTAATTTATTAGTTAAAGCAGGTGATAACCCATGTGTCCCTTTTTTATATAAGCTATGTAGTCTTAAAATTCGATTAATTGAATTTATAAATTGAGTGCTATTTAAAATGAACTAAGGAATCTCATCGGGTAAGGTAACCCTGACTCAAATCCTTTGGTAATGTAAATAATTGTGCTATGTCTTAGCAGTTTGGGCACAATTGTCCAGAAAGTCAGAAGTCAGGTTTATTGCAGAATCAAGAGAACTTTCTGAGGACTGCAGGGAGTTACAGAAGGTGATGATCCTTTCATGGCTTAGAGATGCAGCCTTGTCAGGACTGGTCCTGCAGATACACCTAGGTGCTTAGGAGATGAGGCAGAGCTGGGATAGCCTACACTTCAGATCTTTCTGGGATCAGGTTTGAGGAAGTGAATACCTAGGTTATGGGGCACCTTCTAGGGTGGAAACATATCCGATGTCAAGTGGAACTAGTAGCTGTCCCTAGGCAGGTATTGTTTTCTTCTGATCAAATGAATGATTATTTTTCTGAATCCCTAGAAATTCCCTTCTGTTTTCTAGATTGCACTGTAAGGGGATTTTGTTGATATCATGGTGATATCTTTGGGTTTGCCTACATGTACCTCCAGGAAGTTCCATCTTAGCAGAATGAACCAGCGAAGACTGAGGTCATGTGAGTAAATGACACCTGCAGACATGCAGGCAGCTTCCCAGACTTCAGGGCTCGAACAGCTGATAGAATTCAGATAAGCAGTCCATCTGGCTACATCTTCTATTCCCCACCCTTAGGCTGAGATGGAGGAAGTAGAAACTGAATAAGAAAATGTCTCTAGAAGAAGCCTAGATAACAATCTTGATTGTCACAGTCACTGTCTTGTGCTTAGCCCAACTAGCTCATGGCTTAAGGTTTATATGAACTCACATGAAGCTAGATCTGTAGTTTCTTGTGGCTGTGAATTTCTAGTTCCCTTGGATATTTAGAAGTTCTTGTGTGGATTGAATGAAATTCATCTCTGAAGAAAGTTAATAACAATGAGGGTAGCCAGACACCATGAAATGCTAACACCTTGTCTGTTATGTCTCACGTATTGTGTAAATCTGACAACAACTTCACCTCAAAAGCCAGAGGCCACTATGGAGAATTCCAGGGGGAACACTTTACAACATGCCTTTAGTAGTGTTTCCATAGGTATCAATATCAGAGGAACCTACCTCCATCTGTACTTTACTTAATCCTGTAGAGGACCCAGGAGAAATTCAGAGCAAGTTCCTTCTAACTGGGAGGTCCCTTATGCAGAATATACTGGTGTACCATATATGAGTAAAACAAAAACAAGCTTCTTGTCTCCTGTTTCTCTCTGCCCTTCTCTATCCGGGGAGGATAAAGAAGAAGGTCCCTAACCCAAGGGATCTTCAGGATTACAGCTTTCAACCCTGTGGGTTAAGGTATATTGATGATGGAGTAGGGTGAGGGGGAGATGTAGCCTATGGGTTCTGTAGGTGGGATGTGACACAGGCTGGATAGGGTATCTGATTACATCAGGTTGCTTCAAGGGCGGGGGGGCCAGAGTGCACCTCCTTTTATGATGCTGACTGGTACTGGGCAGCCTTTTACAAAGATTGGCTAGGCTTTCATTGTCTTGGCTATGCATGCCCAAATAACCCACTAACCCTCTCAAATTATAACACACATACAAAAGACAGATATTTAAAGGCTGGGGATACGTTAATGAACATGCTGTCCCTAATTTTATGGAGAGACAGAGTATAAACTAATAATATGAGGAAAAAATAAAGCAGAGTGAGAAGAAAGTGGGTGAAAGGGGTTGGAGTGTGCCATTTTAGACAGTGGGGTCAGAGAAGGCCTTCCTGAGAAGGTGACGTTTGGGCAAACCTAAACTGTCAGAAGGAGCAAACTCTGCCAAAATCTGGGGAGAGCAGATTGCAGGTCAAGGAATCAGCAGATCGGAAAACTTGAGGCAAGGAGTGTCTCGGCATCTTGAGGATGGGAGGGCTGGTGTGGCCTGAGGAGCTGAGAGAAGGAAGAGTAAAGGAGGGAATGTCAGAGGTACTCGGTCCTTGGAAGGGAGGAAGGGTTTTATTATGGGTGCAGGGTGAAGTCATCCGTTTTGAGCAGGTAAATGGTGTGCTCTGATGTTTTTAAAAGATCTATATGCTGATTGGAGAATGGGTTGCAGGGGAACATTATAGGGGCAATTCTGGAAGCAGGGAAACCAGCTAAAAGGCTATTACAGTAATCCAAGTGCAAGGAGACTGACTTGGATCACAGAGAAGCATTTACTTCTAAATTCAAATTGTTGCACTGTACTTAAATTACACCATCTTGCTCTTAAGAGTTACAGATATTAAGTGACTTAGGAGATAGTCTTAGGACCAAGTGGAAAAAAAACTCATTGGAAGGCAGCATTTGTTTGCAAAGTTCAGGTCCCAGAAAGAGGATATTCCTTTGCACCACTAACAAGAGGAGTAGTTCACTGTTCTTATGGGGACTGATTTCTCGAAGTAGAGGAGCCCTCTAGGAGAGGCGATGCGGGGAGTAGCCCTGCGGCCACCCTTAAAAAAAGTGCCCGGCATTGAGCACCAGTGTGGTATTAGGAGTAAACCTGAAGAGAGAACTGGCTGGAAGTTAATGTTCTTACAGTGGCCTGAGGCTGCTGGGGTCTGTGGACGTGAGGCCTCCCCCCTTTACCTGTCCTGTTGGAATGAATTCCCTTTCCAACAATAGGTAGGAATTCCTCTCTTTTATTGAGGACCCCCAGTGTAAAGTTGTCAACTCTCGCCACCTGGTGTAGCCCTGTTCCTGCTCAGAGACACCACAGGAGACTCTGCAGAGGCAGAGCATGGGATACTAGAGGGCTGGTCCACAGCCCTCCTTCCAATCCTACCTCTGCTCTCATTAGCTGAAGGCTTTTAATGTGCTTTAGTTGCTCAGGTGCTCCCAGGTTCTACACTGCCTTTGACATTGTCTTTATCTACAACTAGCTGCCAGCCCGTGGATGTCCAGGAGTGCCCCCTCCCCTGTGTAGCCCGTGGTCAGGAGTCATTTCATCTCAGATATACCCAAGAATTCGCCTCAGCGTTGGTTGCTTTGTGTGGGTCACATTGGTTCTGCATTCTCCTTTTGGTCTTGTATGTAAACAGGCCATGCAGGGGGATGCATTTTTAATTTTTAGTATCCTGTATCTAGCAGAGCGCCTCTAGACCTTCCTTCACATGCCTTTTTGAGACCTGTCTCTTAGAATCTTGTATTTGCATCTCAGACTCTCAGACTCAGCAAATTTGTTGGTATATTAAAAAATATATGCATTTCCTCACAATTTAAGAGTAAAGATTAAGTGATCTGACAGTGTCACAATGGAAATTACTGGATTCTCCTGTGACTTTCCTGCTTTGTGTAGCTTCGTGACTTTATTGCAGTTACATCGGTGGGTATTCTCTGCGTCTTCTCCCCAAGTCTGTCTTCACTTTCTCCAGTTGAATGCTTGGGATGCTTCTAGCTAGGACACGGACCTATGTGGGCTTATTCAATATTGTTCCCTAAATGGATGTAATTGTTGACTAGTTACTAGTTACTCAGTCTTTCCCCAACTTTGGTGTACCAGGTTGTTCTAGCTTCATTGTGGGTTTTTCTGGAGCAGCTGACCACACTTTCCTCGGAGGAGATGGGGGATGGGCATAAGGCCCATTTCTCTGTGTGCCCGTAGCATTCTCTGTGCCTGTTTCCTATTGACAGATGTAGTGGTGACACCCGATCCTGGATCCAGAAGAATTTATGACTTTCATCTCAGTTCACTTTATTTTTTTTCTCACAGAAAGTGATTTATTGCTTTTAGAACAAAATAAGATGCTTTCAGAACTTTTGTTAGTGAAGAAAAACAGAACTTGAAAACTTTTCTAGAACATTATTCTGTGAGCTGATGGAAGTAAGCACTTCAACGTAGAACACTTCCCCCTTGCAACTGTGTGGAGCTGGAGCTGTCGGGTTCGATAAAGCTAACCCCTCAGGAGCGGGGCTTGTGCTTGTGGTGGCTGTACCGAGTGTCAGGTCTGACCTCCTTGCCCTGACGCCTGCGGAGCTCTGCCTCCTCCAGCACCCTCTCACGGCTCTTCCTCACCACCCTGCACCTCACAGTCCTGTAGGGGATCCTATGTGGGAGACATGGCTCTGAGTAGATGGATGGAGCAGCCTGGCTGGTACCCGAATGAATCCAGGCAGGGAGAAATGAGTTAGGTGGCCTCGGATGCCCCTTCCGCCACAGAAATCCCCACTTTTGGACACTCTCTCCTCCCCCAATGATATGCCCAGGGGCCAAAGCCATTGTTTAGTAGGAGGGCAGGAGGTGAGAGGCCACACTCCCTCACAGGCCTCTTGGTGGTAGATGACTACGTGTTTAGGTGTGTTTGTTAGGCATTGCCTGTGGGGCAGGCTGGGGGCCAAGCTACTTGTGGGGCAACGCAGGCCAGGATCAGCTCCTGAGAGCCTGGCACTATCCAAGGAGAGCTAGAGGCAGGAAACTTGCAACTACAGATGTCTGAGCCAGGAAAACAAGCCTGCCAGCGTGTGGCAGCCCTGACAGCGATCCTCAAGGGCGGATCTTGGTCTCCATGCCTGACTGAGGAGAAAAGGGCATCTCACTTCATTTAAAATTCAGATACAGAGGCAGCCACAGAATAAAATCAATCCCATTACTTTACAATTTTCTTACGCTATTTACCCTCTAATGAAGCACCTGTCTCTCCTCCTCTGTATATTATATGTATGTATATGTATATTATATGTATATATAATATATATGTGTCATGTGTTATCTATTACTTTTATGTTACATATAGCACGCAAATGCACATATATTTATACACACAGAAACACATATGTATCTACTTCTGTCTCCAAATTTCTCCTGTGCTGCAGACCTATCCATCTTCACTTAGTCCCACAACCAAAACTCAGTTATGTCCCAGATTGAGCTCATCCCCCTTTCCCTGCACAAGCTTGCATCTTCTCCAGTGTTCCTTATCTGGGTGAAGGGCCTCACCATCTCTCCACTTACCAGAACTTTCATGTCATCTTCTTGCTCTCCCTCATCTAATGATTCTCCAAAGTCTGTTGATCCCGTCGTAAGTGCTCTTTAATCCCTCCTACCTAGTTCATTTCTTGCTAAGATTGCTTCAGTAGCCTCCTTAGAGGTTCTTCTACTTTCAGTCTTCTTCACCTCTAAAATTGTACGTTGCTTATAGAATGCTTTTTCTAAAACACAACTGTGTACCTGTTGTTTCCCTGTTAAACTGCTTATTCTCTGTTCCCACAGATCCATTCTCTGTCCTTCCTTCCCCTGCTTGGTGCCTGGAAGCTGGCATCTGTGGACTGTATCACCTGGGCTTGTTTGCCCTTTGGTTCCCATTGGGTTTGGCCAATGAGAGGCCCTGATGGGAGGGCAGGAGAGAGAGGTTGAAGTAGTCATACCTTCATCCCACCATCCCACATTTTGGCAAGGATTGCATCCCATTAGACTGTCCCCCGGGCTTCAGTAGCTCCAACAAGATCGAGTCCTGCCTTTACCATTTCAGACCTAGGGATGTTAAAGGCTTCCGGCTGTTGCTGATGTCTAGGAAGTTCACGGTGCCTTAGTTCACGGTGTTAATGCCTTAACTCTGTCCACATCCTCACGGAACTCTTCAGTGAAACCCTTTGGAGTGTCAGCAGTTTCCCGCTGAGACTTTGATACTTACCTAAAATGCTTCAGTGCTCTGCTTTCAGCATGAAGTCCATACTCCTTAAAGTGGTGACCACTGCTTACCTCTCTACTGCAGATGTTGAAAGGCCCTCATGTATCCCCCACACTCCAGCCTCAGTGAATGACTGAGCCCCTTCTGTGATTTCCCTCAGCTCTGTGGTTTTGTACGTACTTGCCGCCCTCTAACTCATCTTCTCTGCCTCGTTGCCTCCGACTTATCCTTCAGTACTCCACTCACATTTCCTCTTTTCTAGGAAGCTGCCCCCAATTCTTGCCCTCTACTTTAAGACTGAAGTACCTGTTCTCTGTGTGCTTACAGTGCCTTCCATATATCATAAGAGTATTGACACTAGACTGTAATTTTTTGTCTGTCTCCTGTGGGTTGGAAAGACTGAGGGACTATAGTTACCATGTAGAAGAATTCATTGGTTAGAGAATGTAAAAATAGCATTATTTTTGTGAATAAAAAAGAAAAAAAAAGATAAGATTCTGGGAACTTAACTATTTTTAGGAAATATCTTCTCTTTTCCATCTCTCAGTTCCAAGGTGTAAAGCTCTGAAGGAAATGGATTTTATTAAAACTTCTGACTCAGACTGTTATTGCTACAATCAAAATTCCCAAGTGGAGTGGAAATACATGTGGTCGACTGTGCAGGTAAGAGCCTACATTTAAATCATGTCTTAGGAACTGAGAATTAAAATGTACTATTTCAAGAATAAAAAAATTGCTTTTATATGACACAGAGCAGTGTATCAGTATGAAAGCTGATTTGGGAATCACATAGAGTGGCCCAAGGGAAAGGGACATGTGGAAGGGAACATTAACTCTTCATACTTTCTGTCAGCCCTTCTCCAAGCCACTCCAAATAAATATGGTATCTAAGTGAGCACAGTGTGCTTGCTGTTCAGACACAACTCAAGACAACACCCTCTCTCCTACTTTCTAAAATAATTGCTGTCCCAACCGCTCTCTGATCCCGGTATGGCCAAGATAATAGTTAATCTCAGTAGTCTAGTACTTTCCTTCATTCAGCACTTAATATATTTATTAAGCACTTGCTAAGTGCCAAGAACTACTATTATAGGCTCTTAGGATACATCCGTTATCTTAGGATCCTAAAACAGATCCCAGCTCCTGTGGTGTTTATACTCCTAGGGGTAGGGGATAGGCCATAAATGTAATAGAGAAGAAAATTATGAAACAATAAGTGCTATGAAAAAAGAAAAGGTAAAATAGGTGGAATGAGGGAGGCGGGGAGCAAGTTCTTGTTGAGAAGGTGATAGTTGAGAAAGATTTTAATGAAGTTAGTGAGTTACCAAGATAATATACCAAGAGAGTGTATTCTAGGCTGAGGGAAAAGATAGGACAGCATATCAGAAGGCACATGATGTTGGTATGTACTGTTACTGATAATATACACCGCTTTGATACCAGCTGCAGGTATCTGGCAATTTACAATTTTACCACTGTAAAGTGACCATTTTGCCCTTTGTAATAAGTATTTTGAGGAGGTAGATATCCTTTTCCTCATCAAACTTTCACTCCCTAGTTTTATCATCCATTGATGATGCTTGCATGAATCAATTATCATCACGATGTTTATCAAATGGTCATTTTCTAATTCCATTATTCTTTCTACATTCATCAGCATTCTTCAATAAGGAAGAGTTTTTCCTCCTCCAGTTTATTTATATCCACATAGTATTACAGATTGCAGATTGATTCAGTGGGTTATAATCCATTACTTCATTATTTATTTTGACGTTCAAATTGTCCTAGATTTGGCCAGTAGCAGCACCTTCAGAGTAGCTCATGTGTCCTTTTAATTTGTACCTATCATTTGAGCATCTTCTGGCAAATAAGATGTTCCAGGCTTATCTTATAATTTCTTAAACCCAGCTGTGGAATCATACGTTTTTTCAAGGAGCATTCAGAGTTAGGTGTGTTTATTAGTGCTGGGATACCATTGTCATATGTGTAGACACAGAAACATATACACCCATACACCTGTGCAGATATCTATTTCTGTCTCTCCATCTGTTGAGAAACATGAGTTCTGATATCTTCCATACTACTGGGTTCATTCTAATCTCTCTCCTTGCCATATTTGTAACTTTTTTCTCTGATGGGGGAAACTGGTTTTCAATATTCTCAATATATTGATTTATTTGCCTAATGCTAGAATAATAATTTATTATTTATTTATTTGTCAATATTTGTTTAGAGTGTGTTTTACCTCTAGTTTAAGAGTATATAGTCTAAATACTGTGCTCCAGAATTACTTAGGTTAATTTATTCCCACACACCCTCCTTTAATATGATTGTATTATTCATTTGAAATATATTGGGTTTTATTTGTTTCCATTTCCATTTGAAATATATTTGTTTTATTTGTTTTCAGGGTTTTTCCCTTAGTTGATCTTATTATCATTTATTAGGTATGGTATTAATATGGTTTTAAATCACAACTCTGTGCAGAAGTATTCTCAGAGAAGTGTCACTCCCCCTCATTCCTCTACCCATTCCTACCAAGCCCTTGTGGGTAGTCAGTCTTACTAGATTCTATGTCTTTCCTGTGTTTCTTTCTGCAAAGTGAGGCAGCGATGCATGTTTATAGACAGTGCTAAGGAGTGAGTTTAGATGGAGGACCAATAGCTGAGCCTTGGGTTAGTCATATATATAGGGAGGAGGAAGGAGCCAGCAGAGGAGAGAGAGAAGGAGCACAAGTGAAGATGTCCATGAAGCTGCAGGAAGAATGTGTTAACAAGGAGAAGGGAATGATCGCAGTGCTAAATGCTGTTGATGGATCAAATACGATGACTGAGAATGAATTGGCCATTTGATTTAGCAACATGGAGGCCACTGGTGACCTTGTCAGGGACAGCCTGTTGGGAATGAAACACTCCATGATTGAAGCGGGTTAAAGAGAGAATGGGAGGAAAAGAACGAAGATTGCAGGTATGGGCAACTTTTTAAAAGAATTTGTTTGCAATGGGAAGCAAGGGGATAGTTGGAGGGGAAAGTGGAGTCAAAAGAAGGCTCCCCCTCCCCCATGGGAAAAGTATCAACATGTTTGTATGCTGATAGTGATGTAGGAAAGATGTTAAGGTTTGAAGTTAACAGCCAAGAAAGAATTCTTGAGACATCTTTGGTGCAAAGGGTGAGTTCATTAAAGTACCGGGACAGGACCATGGGCAGAAAGAGCTGCACTGAGATCATGAGCAGTGGCTCATTATATACTCTCAAGTTGGGAGGGGGTTAGGGATAGCATAAGTCTCTTTTTTTTTTTTTTTTTAAAGATTTTATTTATTTATTTGAGAGAGAGAATGAGAGACAGAGAGCACGAGAGGGAAGAGGGTCAGAGGGAGAAGCAGACTCCCCGCTGAGCAGGGAGCCCGACGCGGGACTCGATCCCGGGACTCCAGGATCATGACCTGAGCTGAAGGCAGTCGCTTAACCAACTGAGCCACCCAGGCGCCCTAGCATAAGTCTCTTAAGGAGTTTTGGAAGCAAGGTTTCCAGGACCTTGAGAGGGCTAGCTATTGTTGGGAAAAGGTCATTTATTACTCTCTAATAAAACCTGAGTCATGAGACCCTTCAGATGTATATTGGTGGGTCATATGCTTGGGGGATGATTGCTGACATGTATCTTGGGTGGTGGAGATAAAGGAAGTTTCCAAAGCAATTTTTATATGTTAAAACAGACTTACAGGATCCTGGGGGTTGGGCTAAGATTGCCTTTTGCCCTTAGCAAAGTATTAATACTGAGGCAGCTGAGTTTCTAGAGGAATGTCACTCTCCCTGTTTCAAGGACTTATCAGTGGGCTGTAGGTAGTAAGGAAATTTAATTTTTCTTTTGTCTTTGTTTCCCACATCAATAGGATGGTCCAATAGAGAGGGAAGAAGTATTGTTAGGATGTCCTTGAGTAGACAAAGGTGGATCTGATTCAGTGCCTTTAGAATCTCCTTAAAATCTCCTGTGTGGCAGAAAATTCCTCCCCACAGGCAGGAAGCAGAGCACGTGCCTGCAGTTGCCCACCGGTGGTTCGGTAATGGGATAGGAGCCTGTTGACATTGTCTTCTTCCATTTTCAGCCAAGAGTGAGGATGAGGAGGAGGTGTTGGTATTAAGGAAGGAAAAGCTGTGAAATCTTTGTTGAAGAGAGTGGAGAGTAGATAGGAATGTGTGGTATGATCGCCTGTAGCTTCAGGTCCCATTTCACACTCAGGAGCTTGAAGTCAGACAGCTGTGTGTCTATCTAGCACCATTTGGTGGTGAAAATGCAAGAGCGGAATGGGTGGAGAGTTGGATTTTGCAGGTGGGTGTGACAAAGCAAGAATGGCGCAAAGGAGTCAGGGGTACATGCAAGGGAATGATTTATAATCATTGATCATGGAATTTAGCTGGATAAGAAGGAGCTAAGGACATCAAAGGGGTGAAGAGCAGGGGAAAAATGCTTGATCCATGGTGGGGTCAAAGGCTTCCTGGGTTCGGAGTCCTATAAGGGGCATGCTGGAAAGGTAGGAGTTGGTGGTCAGCCAGTGGGATGCATGAAACAATCTGTAGAGGGCCTGTAGTTTGGTAATGACAAGGTCCAGGGTGTGGCCATGGGAGTGATTAGCTGAGGTCAGGCAGAGGACAAGACTACAAGAGGAGAGGAGTTCAAGATGCTGAGAGTCAGAGTATAGGAAGGAGTTTTGTGTATATATTGTGCATATTGAATCCCTGAGAAGTATGACAGGAAATAGAGAGAGAGAGCAATAGTGAGCCAGGAGCTAACGTCCAAGAAAAATGAGGATAGGTAGTGGGTTATATCACCTGATGCCCGAGATTCAGAGCTGGTGATCTCACTCCCCTTTTCTGGCTCACCTTACTCTTGAACAAAGAAGAGTATGAATAGAGAGGGACAGACAAAGGCAGCAGCACAATTGTCATTTAATGATCACTGACTGGATTGTCACTGTCTGCTTGGTACTGTAGCCAGTACTTTGTTAGTGAGACTTGAATAGGACCTGTGGTTGGATTCTTCTTCAGAGGGCATGGGGGGAGAAGCCTGAATTACATATGCACAGCTGATCCAGAGGAAGTGCTTTTTCTCAAACACAGTAGACAATGGTAGAGATAATAAACCCCATTATAAACCAAGTAGTTTGCCACCTATTACTTTCTGCCATCCTTTTTCCCATGTCCCTTGGCCACAACGACTTGCGAGAAGAGGGAGTTAAATCACCTACAACTCAGGGGAAGAAACATTCACTTTGCAAAGTCTCTGTGCTGCTCCAGTATGTTCAAACTAAACACAGATCTGTAAGTCCATCGCTGGGATCCCTGGAATTGTGTACATCTGACTGTCTGTTCTTTACTCCATTATCTTGGGCTTTCTTCACTCCCCTGCTCATGATTTTAAGGAGCTTATGAGAAGGAGTTTACGTGTTTATAGATTTGTTTGTTCTTATTTTATAGGTGAAAATTACCAGTTCAGTCCTGCTCAATATTGTATATATCACAGAAAGACATAATTGTCAGTATCCAGAAACCATTCTATCTTTTATCAAATGTGTGATTCATAATTTTTGGACACCAAAGGAGTCTAATGAAATAACCATAATCATCAATCCATATGGAGAGACCATGTGCTTTTCTGTGAAGCCTGTCAGGAAGATATTTGTCTATACAATTAGTGTTTATCGAAACAGTAAGCCTTTTTCTGATTTTCTCGATTTAGTTTTTCTGGAGTGACATTTCAATAAATTGACTTTTCTCTTTTTTCACTAACTACATTGACACAAAATCTTTGTTGTGTGTGTCTTTTTTACTCCAGTTGTAGATTTCAGACTCTTCCTTGTGTTTGTGGCAGGCATTTTCCTCTTCTTTTATGCAAAGACGTTGAGTCAGTAAGTATCCATTTTTACTTTCTTGATTTTGTGAATTATCATTTATCCTTTTAAAAAGAGGACAGGCCAATTTTGACCCTATGCTAAATACTTCCACACTAGCTTGTAGTTCTTGCTTTAGGTTTTACAAACAATAGGTCTGAAGATAGTGCTTGAAAGGCCTTTAAAAACTAGTAACAGTACACATGATATGTATGTATATATTACAGAGTGCTTTTACATGCATTATTTTGTGTTATGTATTAATATGCATTTTTTAAATCTGATCCGCTTAACAATTATGTAAGCTCTGTATTTTGTTCTCATTTTATAGACGAGAAAACCGACATTCATCATCACATGACTAGTTCTTGCTAGGACTGAGATTTATACTCAGGTTTTCTGATGCCAGATGCCTTGCTCTCTCTATTAGATTCAAGCTGCCTCCAAGATTTGTGGCTCTGATACAGAAGGTTGAATTTAACAAGTATCTGACTCTTGGATAAACATATTATCCTGATATTTTGTGTATTACAACTTCTCTCATGAAAAAGGAGTCTTTTTCCAGTAATATTTTACTTCTTAGCTTGCTATTCTTAATATTGTTCATCTTTCTCATAGTATAATTGTGTTTAATATAATCCATGGCCTTTAGAAACCCAATGTTAGTTACATAGCCTGAAGAGTAAAGCTTGGACTCAGAGGAACTAGGCTGCATGCCTGAATCCTCCAGATGGCAGATACTCACTTGGGGATGGTCTTTAACTTCTTGGTGCCTTTGTTTTCTCCTCTGTGAAACTTAGACATGGATAGCCGATTCACAGGGCTGTTGTGAATGCATGCAGACCAGCATCTGCTACATGTTAGGTGCTCAGTAATTCCTCTTGCATCAGATTCTAAACATAGAAGGTAACTCAGACATTTTATTTTGAGTTAGTGGCAAGCTATTTACCATAAATTTCAAGTACAGGCTTCATTTTTTATGAGTATAGGATGTAATTAAAGCTACCTTCTGAGTTTTTCTCCTTAGTATTCTTTATGGCTACTGTCGTCAGGTCAAACATGGTTTTAATACTGAAAGTGCTGCTTAGCATTTAAATGGCTTTTATCTGCTTGTCTTGACAGAAGTCCTATTTTCTATTACTCTTCTGGGACCGTGCTAGGTGTTCTAATGACCTTAGTCTTTGTCCTGCTGCTGGTGAAAAGGTTTATTCCTAAGGTAGGCATACTGTGCATAAATGAATAAAAGAGGGAAACCATGATCTCATAGACATGAAAAATTGATCAAAGTTAATTCACATTGATTGTGACAGTTCCTAATTCAAACTGTATTTCTGCGTTGTATAAACTGACTTTAAAATGTATCTTTTTCTAGAGATTCCATTTTTATTTGTTATTATATATACCCTAAAGTATATTATATATACCCTAAAGTATTTGTTTTGATGATAATTTTTTTGAGACCCTTTTACTTTTGGGTAATACATTTTTCTTATGAGTGGCAGGGGACTGACCTGTGCTGAGTGGAAATTTGTCTTGTCTTAGCAGAGCTGAGGAATGTTGTGATGCTGAACCATCAAGGCCTTGAATACCTGCATTGCTACATCTGGGGATTTCTTCATTATTATTAGTTCCCGAAACACCTTTAATGAAAGAGAGCTCTGCACTTAGTTGAGGATAAATATTAGTTCATGATGATAATGTTGCAGATACTCTGATTAAAGCTTGCAACACCGGCATTATTTTGAGATAAATTTCTTCTTTGAAACGGTGCTTTTCCAACTTTAATGTACTGAGGATCCTATTGAAATGCAGATTCTGACTCAGAGTCTGCCATGGGGCCTGAGAGTCTGCATTCCAGCAAGCTCCCAGGTGATGCTGATGCTGCTGGTTCATGGACCATAACTTTAACAAGACTCTAGAGAGTATCTTGAATTGACTTCCAATGCAATTTGATGTAGAAGTTTCTAATACAAAGGGTTTATTTGCTTACTCCTGTTTTTGTGAGTGAATGAACCAAAAACTGTCATTTATTTTCTTCCACACACAGTATAGCACCTTTTGGGCTCTAATGGTTGGTTGTTGGTTTGCTTCAGTTTATGTTGTGTGCCGATTGATGGAAGATCTAAAGTGGCAATGGCATGAAAACAGAATATATATATTAGGTAGGTAATTTTTTAAAAATTTGTCCTATTATTGGTAAAACTGAAAAGTATAACTGGAGGCCTTCTTTGGAAATGTTTCTCTCTGGCGTCTAAATTTTCCTTTTGAACTAAGGAGAAGTGCTGTTAACAATATTTTATTTTATTCCCACAGTTGATGATTTCAGTTCATTAGATCTCATTTTAGACTCTTTTCCCTATGACATCTTTCTTTTTTTGTACTAATGATCAAAAGAGCACAAAAGTATTTGTCTCTTTTGACTGCTTTTTTGCTCTTGAATTGTGGTTAAGCTCTAACCAGATCTAACTCGTAATGAAAAAATTTCTCTGAAATGTGGCTCTTTCTTTTTCTTAATGTACTCAGCATGAAAGGTGAGAAGTTCTAAATATAAATGACTAATGAAAACTTGAATTTTCAGAAACAGGCTATTAAGAAACCACTTGTTCTTATTTCATGTAACCAAAAACAAACAACTTTTTAAAATTATTTGTTTTAATTGGGAAATAATGGAGAATGGGAGGATCAGTTTTCTCTTAACCCCTTAGCACTAAATTTTTCACATAAGTCCGCCCACCCAAAAGAAAAGCAATCAATTTTTTGTTTTCCTTGAAGATTTTGTCTTTAGCTCACTCTCTTTTTTTTTGATAAAAGTTTTTTTTAAAGATTATTTATTTATTTGAGAGAGAGAAAGAGTTGCGTGCACAGGCAGGGGGAGGGGCAGAGGCAGGAGAGAAATCCTTAAGCAGACTCTCTTTGAGCACGCAGCTGTACAGGGGACTCAGCTGCGGAGTTCCATCCCAGGACCCCGAGATCATGACCCGAGCTGAAATCAAGAGTTGCCCGCTTAAACAACTGAGCCACCCAGGCGCCCCTATGATAAAGTATTTTTAAAGTAAATTATAGATATCATGGTATGTTCCCTTAACTACTTCAGTAAGCATCTCTAAAAAACAAGAGCATTTTCCTCTATAGTTAAATAACTGTTAAATCTAAAAAAAAATTACATAAATTACTCAGGTCATATTTAGATTTCCTAGGTGTCCTTGATGGTTGGTCTGTATAAGGGGAGATAGAGTCCAGAACCATATTTTGCATCTACTATGTCTTATAAGTCTTTTATAATCCATAACAATTCCTTTTTCATCATAGTGATATGCTGAAAAGACCAATCTAGTTGTCTTATAGAGTGTCCCACTTTCTTGATTTCTCTGATTACTCCTTTGCAGTATAATTTAACTTGCTCCTCTCTCCCTTGTATTTTCTGACCTGGAAATTAGATCTTAGGCTTGCTTAGATATGAATGAAACACTTTTGGTGGAATACATAAGAAGAGATGTGCGTTTCGCATTGGATCCCAGCAGGAGGTGCAGAATCTCTCATTATCTCACCGCTGTTAGTGCAGAAACTGAGCACTGTGCTAGTGGGTGCAGCCTGATCCCTCCACCATAAAATTGTATTTTCCTTTTTTAACTAGAAAGTAAAAATAAAAAATAGAGTTTGTAGCCAACTGTGACATATGCTGAGGCTTAAATCCTGACCAAAGCAACCATGATAACATTTGTCCACCTAGGACTCTGGACTAAAAAACATATATATCATAATAATTTATTATTAAATATCCTCAATTATTACAGAAGGCAGTGTAGTATCTCACATGGAAGGAATAACTATCCCTCTGTGTGTTTTTCAATCTTAACTTCTTCGGAAAAAGAAGTCCTAAATATGAAGGCTTTCTGATACATTCTTAGCTTAAGTCAAGGCTGTGCCAGGATTTTTCATACAACTTTTCAAGTTCAAATTTTCAAGTTCTTTTGCTTTTTTACAGGCTATGTCCTAATGGTGGGATTTCTCAGCTTTGCTGTTTGTTACAAACACGGGCCCCTTGTGGACAAAAGGAATGTAAATCTTCTGACGTGGACACTACGGCTCCTCGCCCTGCTCCTGATCTATTGTGGGGTCACTGTGCCCCAGTACTCATATGCACTTATGATCCTCACCCTGTCCTCCAGGAGTCTGTGCTACCCATTGAAAGCGTTCAGTTATATGAGGTGGTGCGTATCTTTTTTGCCTTGTAAATTGGACATTTTGAGCTCTGATTTTATTTACTGTTTTGGTAAGTTTCTTGCATGTGTCATATTTTGTCTCATAATTAACTACGTTTCATCTGGAGATTTGAGAGAGGAGGAGGAAGGAGAACGTCAGTATCGAATCCCATCTCCATTTCTAGTCTTCGTGAATCTTTCAGAAGACTTCCCCCAATTACTAGGTAATTACAGCTCACCCAGAATTCCCTGAAATCAGTGGCGCACTCTGGGTTGCCTAAAATTTCTACTTTCATTCAACATTTCCTTTCATTATGGCCCAAGATTGCTTTAAAGGTATTTGTTGTGCTTGTGAAATAGAGCTAGAAAAATAATTGAAAGGTATTATTTATGTTTAGGACTTTTTTTTAGGTTTTAAGTTAAGGCTTAAGCCCTTTAAAAATACAGAAAGAGAGATGAGGTAACTTCTATTGCCACAGCTTTATTATGTCTCTCCTTAGTCATTGAGTTGAACACCTGTTTTTGTGTCAGGTGCACAAACGAAGGGGATAGTTTTTTCCCTTGGTGTGTACTTGTTGAGACAGCAGCATACATTTCTGTATCTTTGAAGTGTTAAGATGTACCTGTTCAGGGACTATGGCACACAGAGTTCAGGAGAGTTCCTGAAGAAGAAATTACTAGGCTGAATCTTCGTGAATTAAAACAGCCAGGTGAATAAATGTGGAAAGGACTTTCCTGACAGGGAGAAGGCCCAGTCTGGTAGCATCATGAGGCCGGTGAGCAGGGTGGGCGTCGGCAAGGTTGTGGAGGCATTACAGGCTGTGTTAAGGAATCTAGTCTGATCCTGTACGTAGTGGAGGCCAGAAGCCATTATGCATTCCAGTCAGCATTCTCTGCCTGCTGCTTAGACTGGAGTTATAAATCCCGTTGCTTGGGGCTGGTACTGAATGGGTGATGCTGAGCAGGGGTAAGGCAGTGGGGCCATCATGAGGACTGTGGGAAATTCTATAGCGCAGCCTCATCAGAAAGGGAGCAGTTACTACTCAGCTTGAGCTGATTGTTGCCATGTAGGAATATGGGCCCTGCCTTGCCAGATCTTCTGTTTTTTGTTTGTTTTGTTTTTTAGAAAAGCTGGGAATATGGATTTGAATGTGAATTGTTATTATTTTTAAATATTGGTAACTAATCTGAAAATAAAAATACATTCAACAGTCAAGATCAAAGCAGAGACCATGAACCTGCCTGGGTGGCAGGATGTGGCCCAACTGCCTTCTGGCACAGAGGGTGTATATAACCGGGAGGCCCCGAGGCACTGACATCACAGCGGTGCAGGCAAGAGGTGATGACGGCCTAGAGTCAGGCAGTGAGACAGTGAGGCAGTGAGGGAGTTAATAAATATTTATGAGGTAAACCTAGCTGTGAGGAAGAAGACTCTGGTAAGTGGTAGTTTATGGATCTGGGACTGCATATGTAACCGTGTCACAGTGTTAAAAAAGTACCAGTGACAGGACAGGGTTCTTGTGCAGAGAATGTTGGCAAGGCTGAAAGGCAGCAGGTCTGGGTCAGAGGGGCTGCTGTTCGCAAAGAGCTCTCTGCCCTGAGAGGCCAACAGTGACTGGGATTACCAGAGGTCCCTCTGCTAGGAGGAGGCTGGCCAGTCCACATCTCCCAGGCCTCCAGCCCTTCGCCACGCTTGTGGCTTGAGGAACCCAAGATAGAATTTGGGCCTCTTTGCCTTTAGACATCCAGCTGCCCTGCCAAATGTAAAGTGTGTTCTGTTATCTGCATGATGGTCCTTCTGTGCACTTGCTGTGCATTCTGTTAACATGAATTTAATACAATGTTTTGTAACTTCCTTAGCTTTTCATTTTGTTAGTGAATAATTATGCGAAGAACAACAGGAAAAAACAGGAACATATAGGTTAAATAGCAAACCAGAGAAATAATACCTTGATTTGTATAGTATTTTAGTTTTACAAAGAGCTGTTTGAATATATCCTAGTATATGGTAGCTACTCTCTTAATTGTCCTTGTTGAACTCTCACTATAGGCCACTCACTGTGCTAAGCACTTTACATAAAATATCTCATTTAATCCCTACAATGACCTCATGAGGTAGATGTTACTGCTTTCACTTTGTTCATATGAGCAAAGTGAGGCTCAGAACCATTAAGGAAATGCCTCAGTTGACAACTCAGTGGATGAACCTCAAAGCCAGGACTGTGTCCCAGTCTTCTGTGCAGAGACCAGAGGTTTTCCTCTAGGGAGACCAGGCTAGGTATTCAGAAAAGGAGAAGGAAATAATGTCAGTGGTACCCCAATCTGACTCCTCACCACCACACAATCTTTAAAAGTTTAAAGGTTTTTTAGGTCCCAACCCTCAAGACAATATATGTTTAAACCACCTCCTGGTAATTCTTATACTCATGTAGATTTGGGAATCTCTGGTTAAATTAAATTTTAAACCACCCAAGAATATTTTTAAAAACTCATTGATAAATGTAACATATGTGTTAATACCTTATCGTCATTGCCATTTTTATGAGATTCTTCCCTTTAGGACTTTTCCTAATTGGAAAAAAAAAAATTCCAGTATGAGCCCCTTAGCATGTAGCAAAAGAGGAGTTATTATAAGTTATTGTACATAAACCATCCTTGTACAATAATTACTCCTCCTCTCTAGGATTAGTCAGAATCTCCACCACTAGGTGGAGGCGATATCCCACAAATCCTCCCTTCTTTTTTTTTTGGGGCTAGCGACTAAGTGGTAATTGATTCTACCAGGTCTCTCTTGCATCTCAAAGAATTGCTTCCATTAGTGCCCAAGATAATGAGCAGACCAAGCATAAAAGAGCCAGACTTTTAATGATCTGATTGTGCAATTAAAAATCACTGAGAAGAGAAATACAGTTAATATATCTATCAGAAATTGAGCCTCAAATTCCTAGGAACATAATTTAGGATGGTCCAGGAAGAAGGGAAATGTACTGTTCGGCCCAGACTGTGCATGTTCTATATACCTCAGTCGCTCTAAGAACCATAAGAGTATGGTGTGATATCAAGGAAGTTAAGTATTACTGTTCCTTTCTAAGAAATGATTTTCTATAAATCTTAAGGTTTGAATTGAGCAGTCAAATATGACCAGGAATCTAGCAACCCATGCCACATGTTTTAGGAAAATGAAGAAATGGTTTACATCAGAAAAGCTGGTGGTTAAGTATCTTACTGAAGACGAGTACAGGGAACAGGCGGATACGGAAACGAACGGCGCCCTGGAGGGGCTGCGCCACGCCTGCCGCAGGCCTGACTTCCCCGCGTGGTTGGTCGTCTCCAGACTCCAGGCTCCCAACAAGTAAGCCCTGCTCAGCTGCTTGGACCAAACGTGGGTTAGAATGAGTGTGAAAATACTGTGGTAGTTTGTTACCGTACTTCAGACTAGGAACAAGGAGGGTCTGTCGGAGGGTCTGCTTTTTCTTCAGTGCTCTGACTTGCAGAGAACTGCTAATGTCAGGACAGATACTTACCTGACGTGTTTGATAGGGAAGGTCAGAAAGATCACTTACATGTGGGAAGTTACTGCTATGGAAGATCTTTTCAGAGTTTATCAAGAAAGACATCTTTGCCCCAACATCTTTTTCCTTACTGCTTTGCCTTCGTCATAGCTTTATCCAAATAACAGTGCCCTCAAATTAAACATTGAAGGGGGAAAGTATTGACCTACTGAAATGACAAATGAATAATGAATCAAATAAAAAAGAGAGAAGGAATTAGAAAACAGGAGTGGGTATGTTTGGCAGCACTTGGTGCTTGTAAGTCTGCCTGCTTCTCTGTTCTTTCCCTGAATGTCTCTAGAAGGATCACATAAGCCGTTGCATTTTTACATCCAGTGTATAAATGCTGTTCTCTATTGCCATAAGTCAAATTTAATTAAAGAGGATAAATAGCAAGAGAACATGTTATCTTCCAAATAAACCTTTCTGTGATAACATTAACTTTATTTAAAACAAAAAAATACTTATTAGATTTGCAGACTTTGTTCTTGGAGGAAGCCACTTGTCACCTGAAGAAATTAGTCTTCATGAAGAGCAATATGGCTTTGGGGGTGCCTTCTTGGAAGAGCAGCTGTTTAACCTGAGGACTACCTGATGACCACCTGCGCATTGACTTCATTCTGAACAAGGAAATGGGTTAAGGGCAAGGGTCCTATTAACATTGGCCAGAACCATTCTAGGGAACAGTGGCAAGAGCATTTACTATGGGAAGGAGTCATACTGGAAAGGAAAACTGAACTATATTGAAGATAACTTTTCATTCTTCGTGAGTTCTGCTACTTATTGTACTATAGGTAGCCATCAAGATTCTGTGAGAGTCTCTTACCACTTTCCTTGAATGAAGATTTTCATTAGGAACAGGGGAATCATGTTGATCTTCAAGGAGCCAGTTAACACAAACATCTGCCTTGTCAACACCAGGACGTTAAATCTTCTCTTAGACTATATTGCTCTTCCTACATGTTATCAGTATAAGTGCTGGAAGAGATCTGAGATATGCTGGACCAGTGTATCCAAATTATAATCCACAAGATGCTAATAAGTGCTAGTCAGTAAAGGGATTCTGAGGTCATCTAAGATTGAGACAAAGTTAAAGAAATGTAAGACTTCTCAGAGCCATTAACAATACTAATGCACATTGTGAATCTCTTAAAGAGAAATTGTGTGCAGCAGTTTCTGACTTAATTTGACCACAGAACCCTTTTTCATGAGATTAATACTCCTTAGAACAATTTGGAAAATGCTAATGATGGCAGGATTGAGGTTTGGGGAGGTTAAATAACTTGTCCAAAACTACAAAGCTATTAGAGGTAGCACTGGGACTAGAACTCCGATCCTAGTGTTTCCTACAACTCCGGGTTGTAGGAAACAACCTTCAGAGGTGAGCCTAGAGACAATCTCCCTACAGCCTTGGGTTTCACCATATTGGTGACTTTTTTATTTTTTAATAATGGACAATTAGCTCTTTGATAACTATGATAGAGAAGCATTTCCTAAGGTTATATTTTAAAGCTTGATAAGATTTTTATAGACATGTATAAAAATTAGAAATGAGAATTCTGTAGTTTTTGTATGTTGAAATTGAAGACATTTAACTTTTTGTGACATTTTGAGTTGACTGGTCCATTTTTTAAAATTGAGTTATATATATTTGTAACAGTTTCCTACAAAACAGATTTGTGATCTTTCTTCAGAGAACAAATCCTTTTTTTCTTGATTCTCCAGAGTGAAATGAGGGACTGACTATGAACTTTGACCCTGGGGAAAGAAGGCCAAAACATAAGCGCTGAGAAAAGATGTGAACACAGCAAAACAATCCAAGGGTTAAGATGTGCTAAATTGATTCACTTTAAGAAACATAAACATAAAAAAAATAGTCTTTTTTTGCTTTGGTGGGTTTTTTATGCCTCTCTTCTTTAAGAATGAGGACTCTCCTTTTACTAGAAGAAGGGATACGGAGGAAGGACACAGAGAATTTAGGAGCTGCTTTCCTGAGCCAAGTTCAGTAGAGTGTTTCTGAATTGTTGAATAAGAGCATGGTTACCATTTGGAACTTTCTATGTTGATTTTCACATATTTCCTCTTTGAAACAGTGTGTCAGTGTTTTACAAGTTTCTCTTTTGGCCAGGTCTACCTTTTAATATTAGGAGCTTTGCAATTTTTTGTGAAATGCACGAAATTCAATCTGTGCTTTCACATAGACTGATTTCAAATACCAAAGAATCTTCCGTTCAAATTTATGATGATTGTGATGATGATGTTTTATAAGTATAAAATGGTTCTAATGTCATTTTTGTTATAGTTTAATCGGATTTTTTTATAATTTATTGCTGATATAAATGTATCAGATGTATTAATGCTTGTGATCACCACATTCACCTCCCAGGAGGCCGTTTTTGACAGAATGTGTGTGTGAATAACATGTGAACAGTCAGCTGGAGTTCCCAGGGTCTGTCGCAGCCAGACCCCCTAGGGCTTACCTATGCCGGGTTGAAGAGGTGCTGACTACAGAAGGAAGCAGTACCTCATGGGTCAAGCTAACCATCACAATGGAAGGAAAAGAACAAGATTGTTCCGGGATACTGTTTTTCATGTTTATTTTTAGAGGAAATCATGGATTTGTCAGTTTCTGTTATGTGAGAACTGTGAGAAGCTGAACAATTACAAGCATTACTTGTGATACATTTGGTGTGTTTCTGTTGTGTTCATTTGATTTGGGGTTTATTATAGTGCTTTATCACAGTTCTAATCCCCATGATGACTCCCATAGGAGACCCTTTTTCTCTTCTTCCCCCCCTTCCTTTATCTCTCTTTTTCTCCTCCTCCCACCCCCGTTATTTATTTAAAGGCCTTTAAACTGTGTAAATGATCACTCAGTAAAATGGCTCTGCCCTTCACAGGTGGTTGAAAGTTGTCCTCTTGCTTCCTATCGCCATAGGTGTGCAATTACGGAGCATAGCTGAACCCTTTGTGTTATTGCCTATGCAAGATGCCTCATAAAAGCTCACTGTTGTTAGCAAGTTGGGACTATTTGACACCAAAATGTGTGGGTGAGATTTAACGTAGGTGGCCGTGCTTAAACAATTGTATCATTCAAATGTTATTTTTAAAGGTTTTAAAACACATTTTACATATCACAAAAAATGCTTTGTGAATTGGTTGTACAATTTGCCAATAATACTAAAGGCTGAATTAAAGGGGACTGTCCATCTGATGTTTAGGATAATATTTGAATTTATGACCTTTTTTTTAATCTAGAAATTTAAGAAATTTCAGATTTTAAGAGGCTTGGAATAGATAATGATCAATATATCTAAACATGTGGGTGAATTAAGACCCCTGCAGTTGTGTCAAGAAAAGAAAAAGGATTATTTTGTATGTGATTATTTCCCAGTTAGAGAAGTAGAATTTTTTAAATCAGCTTTTTTTGTCCAACTGTTACGCATAGCTAATGGATGTAGAATTTTAAAGAAGCCTGCCGTAAGACAGAGGTGTTTGTAGGTGACCCCAGGAGTAAGCTGCCTTTGAGAGACCCCCAGTAGGTGATAGGACATTGATGACTTAACCACGTGGGTGTGAATTTTGACCTTATTGATTCAGAATCCTGATTTTTGTCATTGCAGTTAGCCAATTCATATAGTCTATTTAGTGATTCACAGCCAAAAATAAAACCAGCATAAGGATTAAAAACACTTGAATTGCTAAAACCAGCAGATTCTCTCCCAAAAGACCCCTATGAGGGGTCAAATGGTGGTCAGAAGGTTGCTTGCACAGAAAGAGAACAAAGGAAGTTTGTTATATAATTCACATGTTTAATGTCACCAGACCAAAGTCTAATGCAACCCCCTCAGTGGGGCTACCGTTGCTAATGTGATGAGATACTCAATCTGTTGGCAAAGACCACCCTTCCTTTATGCAGGCCCTACCAGCTTTTCCTTTCTGTGATTGTTGTTTTTGTAATTTTTTTGTCATTGACCAGCCATTCAGATATGTTGTTTAAATCTGCAGTCTTTCTCTGGCCTATGAGTCTAGTTACCTTTTTCAGGTAACTATGCTTATTTTTGCTATGACTCCTGAATGTGATACCTTAATAGGTCACTGGAGATTTGGGTTGAGTGTATATCTACTAGGATAAACCTTGGAAGACACATTCAGTTGGGTAGCTGCTCTTTGTTTCTTGTTTAAGTTGTTTGCGGGAATCTGTTTACTTTTTAGATTTGGTCCATTTTCCAGCAAGGCAGTAATCAAAAGGAGAAAGGGGAGGAGTACCAGGATTTATTAGCCATCTATCAAGTGCTATACTAGGCCCTTTCTATGCCTCTTCATTTGGACTTCTAATCACCGTTTAGCATTGTTTCCATTTTTCAACTGAGGACAGACTCAGAGAAGGTTGCTAAAGGACATAGTAGCTAAAGTGGTGGAATCAGAATGTGAGCCTTAGTGTGTCAGGGCCCGGGCCTTTGTGTTGCCTTTATTGCCATCTTTAAAAAACAGAGTTAGTCGCGTAAGTGACTCCATGGCTAATGAGCTGAAGACATGACTACATCTGATGTTAGGCGCGTGCCAACTCTGGGGCAATGGACCAATTCTCCTGCCTTCCATCAACCACAAACCAGTACTTTTGTACACTAAAAATAAATGAGAATTAAGTTGATTAGCACTGGTCTACATGTTATTTTTCGAGACCCCCATTGATCTTTTCAGGGAACAAAAAGTTCCTGACCTTTTCAAAATAAAAGTTTACAGTTGAAGAGAATAATATCCTCAGCTATTTGGCAAAGAACAGGGTATGTAACTTGTTAAATGCTTATAAAATTCTTGCTTACATTTTTTGACACACCTTAGAAGAAAAAGAAATACTGAAACTGTGGAACAAATGTCTTATAACCCCTCCTATCTATGGCTCTTGCACACTGTAGAATTGCCTTGGTTGTTATTTTTCCCAGTGCTTCAATTTATATTTTGCTTAATTTTTCCTCTTAACTAAGATCTGCAAGCAACTTAATGATTATAATGCATGTTGGAACTGAATGCTTGCTGGGTGTAGGCAAACATTTGAACATAGCACTGTAGTTTGGGAGAATGTAGTATTACAGATTTAAATGTTAACAAACTACTAAGAGAGCTAGGGCCTAGTTGGGGAAATGAGACCGCACTCCTCTTGCCATTGGCTGTGTGTCACACGATGATGGCAGTATTTATAGTGTGCGCCGTGTGTCAAGTACCTTATTTAAACCTCAAAACTACCTGTAAAGTAGATATTGTAGTCACTGTAATTTTACAGAGGAGGGCTCTGAGGCGCAGAGCAGTTACGTATGTAAGTTCTCAGTGGCAAAGTGGAGACTCAAATCCAGACTTGGGACTCCAGAACCTGGACTTCACTCCCAGCACTGTAAGGTTCCTGGGTTGCCATCTAACATCTTCCTGGAGCCGCAGTGGGGCAGGTGGTCCTGCATCAGCAACTGGAAGGAGATGCGAGCTGAGTGAGAGTTAGGCACCCCTGGACTGGCTCATTTCTCCCCCAGTCTAGACATCAACATGTTTCCAGTTACTCTCGTAAGCCATAGTTTGTCCTGGCGTAAGGCCAATTACTTT